AGACACATCTCTCACAAGTTTTCTTTCCAGAGTCTTTGAAATCTTTCACTTCCTACCTCTGCCAGACCTGTTCTGTACTGTATGGCTCTCTTTGAATGTCTTGATGAGACTTCTCACTCCACTTCTTGACACACGGAAACACTGTGAAAACTTTGTATACCCTTCTCCTGCTTTGTAAGCATCAACAATTCTTTTTCTCAAGTCTGAGCTGATTTCTTTTGTTTTTGGCATGATGCTTTCTCAAGTGGCTGCTCAAATCCTTAATGAAGTGTTTGTATTGTGTGTTAAGTGTAAGACAACCCCCAGTTTTAACTTGATTAATTGATTGATTACAAGCTGTGAGCATTACAAAGTTAAAGCGCATGATTGCACAACAGTGGTTTGTGCTTTGGCTCAATAAAAAGGTCAGTTCTTAAGGGGGGTAATAATTTTGACCCTGGTAGTTTTTGGTTTTTGTTAAATAATTTTGTTTCTGTGTGCAAAAAAAAAAAAAGTAAGCATCAAAGATAAAACTAGGATGTTTGGAAAAGCTGTTAAAATTTTCCTTGATTTGTTCAACAGCACTTGGGAATTAAAATAAAATAAAATAAAATAAAAAAATAGAAAGCAAATTCATAAGCGTCTAATAATTTTGTGTTCAACTATACAGGATCTGTAATGCCCTACATTTTTCTATTACTCCCCAGGTCCGAACACGAGCGTCATTCTCCCAATTGTCCATTTGTAAAGGGCGAGCACACACAGAACGTCCCGCTGTCAGTGACTCTGGCAACCAGCCCCGCTCAGTTTCCCAACAGCCCTGACAGTTCGGACAAGATTGCCTGCTACGGCTTTGGAAGCTGCCCGCAGTTCCTGGCTGCTGCCACCAAGAGGGGCAAGATCTGCATCTGGGATGTCTCCAAAATGATGAAGGTCTGAGCACTTCACCATGAATGCATGCGATTATGCCATCTGTCTTATGTTTTGCTGTCAAAGATGATGGTGTTCAGATAGTAGATTAAAAGGTGTTTGATTGTGTGTTGAACAGGTGCACTTGAAGTTTGACATCAACCCGTATGACCCAGCCATCCTGAGGCAGCTGATCCTGTGCAGTGGTGAGCAGGGCCAGCAGACACTGACTGAGTCTCGGAGACCAACTCTGGCCTGGTTAGAAGAGTCATCCTCCTGCTCTGACCTACCCAAGCTAGAGGGAGACAGGTAAAAAACATTCAGCAAAACAAGGTTCTTCCAGTATTGGAACTGCACTGTTTATGCTGAACATTAACCCTATTTGAAATTCAAAGGGCCATGTACTAAGGCTTGCCATAAATACTACAAGACTGCCTGTGAAAATCAAAAATTTTACCTCGTCTAAATTTCGCATCATCTGTCAAAATAATCTTCTTGTGCAGTGATACAGCTTTCCCAACACTCCTGCAATGCTTGTAATGCTCCTTGGAAGACCTGTTATGTAAACCTGGCAAGCATCGACCCTGGTGCATAATTTCCTGGTACCGTTTGATTTACAGGTTGCTATGATATAAATATGCAACGTGTCCTTAAGTTATTGGTCAGATCCACTCCTCATGCATCACATCTGCTTTCAAAAGAGGAAATGGTTTTGGCCAATCTTTAGGCTTCAACACAGTAGTACATTAACAAATGTAGAATGTTTCAATTTCTATGAAACCATCTCTTATATACAGGATATAAACATAACATAGCAGCCCTCTGGAGGTGGAGGTTGCTGCTCCAAAATTTGTTGTACTGCAAAGAAGGTAACAGTGGGAAACTCAAAGGCATAAACTGCTACATATGAGCCACAAGGACTGAACACTATTCAGTCCACCCTCATGTTGTCTTTTGAAAATTTCAGAAATTTCACAATTTATCAGAGCCAGAAAGATCAGATTTTTAACTTTCTGATGTCCTTGAACTATAAATGTGTGACTTCTGGCTCCCCCCCAAAAGTGTGCATTCCTTGGTGCAACGATCTTAGCTGCAACAAACAATCACGTGAAAAATTTGAGGAAATTTTGGCTGGTGTTTAGACAGACAGAGCAGATAGGAGACAAGGATGGAACCAATTAAAACTCTAAGTATCTACAGTATATACAGTGAACCTTTTTTTTCAATATTGGTAACAACTGTGGATACTTGTTTTTTTTTTTGTTGTCTTTTTTTATGATTTATAGAACTGTAACTTTGTTACAATTCACTAAATACAGTCGTGACTTGACAGTCGGACCCTGAACAATTCAAAAACCTTGCTGTCCGACAGGTTTTTAGGAAAAACGAACGGAACCCATAAAAAATAGCCTTAACATACCGACAGCCTTGGATTCTGACTCCGACATGACATTTTATATCACAAATAAGGATAACAGCGTATCATCTGACTTAAAAATCCAACAGATGTACTTACCTTTGATGTCAACCGACGGGCTCGTGCACAAGTGCACCGATCAATTAGACGTGAAATCCAGTGATGGGTAGTGTTTTAACAATACACTAGTCCCACTTATTGAGTGAGGTTGCCCAACTAATTAAGTCAGTTTGCATCAGATTGTTGGTGAACAACTCCACATGACACACAGGTAGGACAGGTTTGGTGCTTTGAGGTTCTCTGAAGTATTAAACAATGTGACATGTTTTGACACCTGAATAATTCTATGAACCCATATGTACTGCAGTTGTATCGCTCTTATCAATCATAGAAACAAACTGCTTCAATACTGTGACATGCCAGACATCATACGTAAAATTGCATCTGCCAAGTTTTCACCAGCGTTCAAGAAGTCACACACCACATCGTGCACTGTCATGGAGCGACCAATGTAGTTCATGATGAGTCAAATATTCAGGATATTTGTCATTAATTAGGGACAAATATCCGGAGAACAGAAATTGCTATTCGGACCAGCCCTAATACGTAGATAGTTTATTATAGCAACTATAAACAAGAAATATGAGCAACAAATTACCCTACAAGCATCAAGCCCTCCTTGTATCTCGACCTCCACCTTTACAATCTGACAGCCTTGCTGTCCAACATAAAAGAAGGTTTTACATTGAGTGTCGGATTATCAAGTCACGACTCTATATGTTTTCTCTTTACTTCTTGCCATGGTCCATTCAGGTGCAGGACTTGTTAATACAGTGAAAAATTAGCCCCTCAGCAATTCAAATTACTGATAAAATTTCTGAAAATAAAATCACTTTAAACTTCCCTGTGGTCTTAAGAAGTTCCTTCATAACCTGGTGATGGTACTGAATGATCTTTAAACAAAAGACAACAAAAATGACAAAACAAGACTGACTGACCAGACAGTGCCCATGTATTGTGCCACAGACAGTCCACACAATACTTCTTACTTTGTGGGAACCTTGTGTGTGTCAGTCAGTCAGTCACAGATCAGTTTGTGTTTTAATATGTTACACATGTTTTTTTAACCACTTCCTCTTTTCCAGTGATGACCAGTTAGAGGATTCAGACAGTGATGAGCATTCCCGATCGGAGTCAGTAACGGGTATGCAGTTTTGAATTTTGCCATTTGTGAGGCTGCTGTTGCCCCTTTTTTGTTCAGAATCCCTCAGCCTCATTAAAATAGTGCTTGCATCATTTGTTCCATGTTGCAGTGCAGACATGAAAAACCTTTGACCTTTTCTTGCTTTTGTTTCAGGCCACCCATCACAGTGGGAGAGCATGGATGTGAACCTAGGGGTGACAGCGCTGAGTGTGCTCCAGCAGCCAGAGAAGCTCCAGTGGGAGGTAGTGGCCAGTGTGCTGGAGGACACGGTGAAGGACCTGGAGGAGCTGGGTGCCAACCCTTCACTAAACCAAACCAAGGCCCACAGCCAGGCCAAAACAAAAGACAAGGTCCCTGACCACCACAACATTCCCTTTCCCTGCCTGCTGGCTGGAGGCCTGCTCAGCTACCGTTCAGCATCCAGCACCCCCATGGCTGGACCCCCGCCCACAGCCCCAGCTACAACACGCAGGACCACAGATGGTCCACTAAGGACTCAGGGCCCTGAGCCCTTCCACCCTGTGTCCCTACAGGAGCAAGGCCCCATGGAGATAGAGACCTGCAACCCTCAGACTGCAGCACAGGAGCAGGGCTTCTCTAATCTAGCAGGTTCCCAACCTGCGAGCCCCTCTTCTCTGCCAGCTGTGCGCAGGACTATACCCGTGCTGTTGCTGTACAGTATCAGAGAAGTAGATGACAAGTCCTCAGGACAGGTCTTTGCTCAGATGAACAACCTAATGAGCAAGGGTCTCCATGAGGAGGGCTTCACTGTGCCACAGATCATTGAGATGGAGTTTGACACGCATGAACAACTTCTTCTTCAGGATCCTCCTATCACCTACATTCAGCAGTTTGCTGATGCAGCAACTAATCTTGCAGGGTTGGATGGTCACATGGACAAATGGAGCACACTGGCTGCAGCAACTGTCTCCACCCCACCTCGACCTGGTGCACTGGTGCAGTGCTTGAGGCTGCCCAAACAGCTGGAAGAGGAGAATCTTTATGTGGACTCCATCACGCCCTGCTGGGACGGTGTGCACCTTCTGGTCGGCCTGCAGCCATGCGGCTCTGAATCTCTGAGTGCTACAAACCAAGTGGAGGCTCTCAACAATCTCAACCGCCTTCACTCTGCCCTGTGCAGCCAGCGCAAAGGAGACCCCCTACACCCAGTGGCCAATGGGGTGGAAGGCCATCACCCAGGTGGGTCACCACCTCAGACACCCCTCATCCTACCTCCAGGAGACCAGCAGCAGCAGCAGCAGAGATCTCCAAGTGGTGGGAGTGGAGGATATCTTGCACTCTACAAGCTCAATTACTCCACCCGTATTGTCACATTGGACGAAGAACCCATCAAGTTGCAGCAGATTTGGGACCCCTGTGATGCCATCACTTCTCTTATATTGCTTCCTCCAGATGTACTTGATAGTAGGGAGGATGAGAGTGAGGAGGCTCCTGAGGAGGCTCTGCCTTCAGCTGCAAAAAATGGCTCATCTGGGTTTGGAACGAGCCAGGCAGGCTCTGCTAGCTCTGGAACTGGGACTGCATGTGCAGCAGCCACAACCAGCAGCAGTGCTACTGTCACCAGTCCCTCCACCTCTGCCTCAAGCCACAAAGAATGCAAACGGTTAGAGGTGGCAGGCCTGGGCCACCTGGTGGTCACCACACGGGCTGGGTATATTATGATACTAGACCTGTCCACATTGGAGGTTCTGACTAAGGTGGAACCGCCTAGAAAGGAGGGGTCAGCAGAGGAGACAGACCCCTTTGTCTCAGTTACCTATTGCTCTGGGACCGACCGCCTTTGCGCCTGCACCAAAGGTAAGTGTTTTGTATCTGCACATTTTTCTGCAGACAGCATCACTGTCTGTTCAGATAGACAAGTAGTCTTTAACTTGACCGTAGAAAGAGGTTGTTTTTTTTCTGTGGGTGTGTGCATTTGTTTTTAGATTACAGAGGGTCAGTTATAGGAATGTCCCTTCATTGTCAAATCTTTGCCTGTTCTTTTTTTTTTTCTTTTTTAAGTTATGGACACAACTGCTGTTATTCTTATATTTAATAATTGTTTACAAAAAGATTGAATCCATCTCTCAACACTCTGAGTTCTCTACTCTGTCCGTGACTCTTAACCTCAAGCCTATTGTTTCCTAGACAACCAATGTCTCAAGTTTGATTGTTTTTTTGTTTTTTTTTAAAGCCTCAATAATTTCCTCAAACAACGAGGCAATGTCATTTTTATCAAGTGTCACTGAAAGAGAAAGAAAATGTGCAATTCACATTTGGTGCTAGTGTATTTTTTGCAACAGAATGGTGTATGTGTGACAGACAGGTGTGTGAGAGCAATTATTTCTCTGAAAAAAGTGAAACATTGCATTCCAGTGTCAGATTTGTCCTCAATGAAACGAGATTTTCTCTACATGCACCGTTTTCTGTGAATGGAGAAAACAGCCCATGTGATGCATTCCGCTTTTTACGAGCAGAGTGCATTTTACAATGTAAACACTGCAGTCAATCACGTTCATATAATGATGGAAAGCTAAAATCATGATTGTGATTTGTATTTATTCAGTTTTGCAGCCCTACTACTGTGTTAGCCATTGTACTTGAATATATTGCATATTTGTCCGTATCTTCCTGCCAGCACTTGCATGTCTGATCATCAGGTGTGTCTGAATTGGACCTCTAACTCTCCACCAGCTGCCTCCGCTTTCCTCATTTTCTTTTTAAAATGATCAGCTACTGTTGGCTTTCTCTTTGGGACGCACATCAGCTAAATAGCCTGTTTTACACATCAGGCAGGGACACTCTATCAGAAAATAAAAGCACTACCTTCTATCAGTATGGCTAATGCAGTGGCTGCCTGTGCCAGTGAGAGCCACACCAAAACAGCTTAATGACCATGATGTGCGTCCAGGACAACGCCTACTTGAAATTTTACCTAGCACACTCCAAAGAAAATATTGCATTTGTGACCATTTTGGTCACAGTCTGGAGCCCTTTACCCAAAATGCATCTCTTTACCTAGAGAGGCCTTCATTTAGACCTAAGTCAGTAAACGCATTTCAGTGGCTGCACAAGTAACCTATGAATTACTTTCTTGTTTAACATATTTACTGGTATTTTTCATATTCATTGTTGTAATAGACTTAATTTTTGTTTTTAGTCATTTGGCAATTAGGATTTACACTGTGGAAAAAGTGTAGAGAATTATTTTACTTGAACCAGAAAGTTTAATGTTAAGTCCTGCTGTAGAGGAATTCTTTTGCTCAGTATACTTTTTTGACAATGTAAGTTGTGTTTGTGTTTTCCTCTGAAGGTGGAGAACTTCATTTCCTTCAAATTGGAGGTGTGTGCGATGATATAGATGATGGAGACATGTTTATTGATGGCCCCCTTTCTAAAGGGGCTGAACTGCTGCTGGAGGGGGCCAAGCCCTCCTCTAACCCTTCCAGTCCTGGGATCACAGGTAAAACTGACATAAGACACGCTCAAGGCTGATTTCAGTCTGCATTGGTCTGTGCACATAGACACGAAAAGCATGAATTGACTTCCAGTCAGTAATTTTGACATAGGTTTGACATATCAGACCATGTTGTCTAATGTGTTCGTCCATAAGTACAATGATTCCCCAACTGGCCTTTGTGTAGGAGTGGATCTCCTGGTGGACCAACCGCTGACGACAGAGAGTCTAATGTCTCTGGTGGAGCTGACACGCTTCGAGACGTTGACCCCACGCTTCTCCGCCACAGTGCCGCCTTGCTGGGTGGAGGTGCAGCAAGAGCAGCAGCAGCGGCGCCACCCACAGCACCTTCACCAACAGCACCACGGAGATGCAGCCCAGCACACCCGCACCTGGAAGCTTCAGAGTGACAGGTAGATTTTTTTTGAGCATGTTTACTGACATTGTGAGCCACAAAAAATGTGTTGTCATGGGCAGCATAGTATGTCATACAGGCACAGAGCCTTTCACTGTCACATGTAAGGGGTCAATAAAAACCTTAGGATATTACAGTGTTTAACACATTGATCACATTATAGTTTATAAGTAAATCTCCCCACTTGGCTGCCCCTATTTTATGTAATTGTTGAGTTTTACATTTTTTCATGGGATTACATACATTTTTTGTTTCACTTTGGTTTGACACGTTCAGGGCGATAAGTACCATCTGTCAGAGTCAGGGTTAACTGGCTTAACACCTGAAGCAATGATACTTTCGTAAATCTTTTGAAATGTTTTGTTGATCCAAACTCCACAATATTGAACAAAGGAGGAGTTCCTAGAAAAGTGAAATGTCTTCTGTCAGTCATGTTGGAGGCTTTGTGTGTGTGTAGCTATAAAGACTTAGTCAAAGGTATTGGAAGGTTCCTCTTATTATGATGATTTGTGTTGTGTCTGCAGCTCGAGCTGGGATGAGCATGTGTTTGAGCTGGTACTGCCCAAAGCCTGCATGGTGGGCCATGTGGACTTCAAGTTTGTCCTGAATGCCAACATCATCAACATTCCTCAGATCCAGGTCACTTTACTGAAGAACAAAGCACCTGGGCTGGGCAAAGTCAGCGGTGAGGGCATTGTTTGTAGATCATTGAATGAATTACATTTTCTGAAAGGTAGATTGTTTACTGCAACTGCAGCTTTTCAAAAAGAGACTACTTTGTTGTTCTCATAGTCAGACGATATTCTTTTTTTCCATCTTTATGTATTTTATGCTGTATGTATCTGTGTCTGAATGTTGCTTCTTCTCCCTTTATCAGAGACAGCAGTGGACAGACAGATCTCCTTCCCTCTTTCCAGTGTCCTCCATGCCAATGGAGAGAGGAATGGTCAGCCTCTGTTGCATGATTTCACAGAGGACATCCAGTTCATGGACATCGAGGAGACATCAGGTAAAAAATGTAAGCAGTTTAGTCTGAGATTAGTGGAGCATTTTTTGTAATTTGTCTTGCAACTAGCCGTCATCAGTATTTATCCTTTCATGTTTTGCATACTTTATTGTGTTGTGGATTCAGTGTTAAATGGATAAAATTGTTGAGCCAG